AGTAATAGGACATCATTAATAGGGAAGTTGTTATTGATGCTGTGGCTCTGAAGGCTGCCTTGAGTTCTCATAGTCTGTGACTCTGACATGAAACACGGGCAATCTGAGTCACAGCTGATGGAGTTTGTTGCCTCCAGGGAACCCATTTACTGAGCTGTGTTCAGCCGTTTGAAAGGATCCCTTGTTACAGTCCCAGTACAGGTGGTCCTTTCCACTTAAAACAGATGATCTTGTCTCCTAATTTCCTGAAGTCACACGTGGACCCTTTCTGTTCACAGGGACCAGGGACGTGGGTAAGGAGAGGAAGGCTCTGAGGAGCTGTGTGCAGCTGCAGGCTTAATCTCAATTAACAAGAGCCACCTGGGGAACCGCTGTGCTGGGAATGACTGGGGCCTATTTGTTTTCCTGCTGCAGGTTGCCAGGGCTTTGTTAACAGCCCTCAGGGAGCGACTCGCAGGAAGATTTTATTTACTTTTCCTGGATGCCAGCTCTGTCTGGCAGCCTTCGCTTGATAACGTGACCTACATCCAAAGACTGTGTTTTTGAGTGAGGCCAGGTTGTGGAGGCTGGTAGGTTGAATTTTAGTTCCAAATGTTCTTCCCCCCTTAAGACTCCTGCCCCCAGACTAGTTAACGTCTTTCCCTGAAACCCCGACACACACATACACACACACACGGAACTCTTCATACTTGGTCCCTTCATGCCCTTCTCATGGTTCATATATTTACGTGCCATTTGATTAATGTCAGTCTCTCCCTGTCAGTGGTGATGCCGGGCAGAGGAGGGCTCTATCCACTCCTGTCACCACTCTAACCCCACTGTACGCGTCTCTGTTATAATCAGGGTTGCCAGATTTAACAAATAAAAGTACAAAATACCCAGTTAAATCTGAAATTCAGATAAGTAATGAATAATTTTCAGTAAAAATATGTCTCGTGATATTTGGGACATCTACTAAAAATGATTGGTTGTTTATCTGAAATTCAAATATATCTGTGCATCCTGTATTTTATCTGGCAACCCTATTTATAACCTGTTTCTGATGCTCTGTAGATATACACATGAATGAAGGAATGAATGGAGATAATGCATGATCAAAAACAGAAAACCAAATGCAGGCATTCTACTGGAAATCATATACCAACATGTTAGGAGTGGTTGTTTCAAGGCAGTAGGATTATTGGAGAATTTTCATTGTTCCATGTGATTTTCTGTACTTTTCAAATTGACTGCAATGCAAATATCATAAATATGTATATATTTATACCTACCTACCTACACACACACACACACACGCACGCACACTTCTTAACATTGGTTTAAAACCTGCTTAAAAGAGAAATAATTTGTGTTTTTCCTCAGCTTGAAAAATCAGANCTTTCCCTGAAACCCCGACACACACATACACACACACACGGAACTCTTCATACTTGGTCCCTTCATGCCCTTCTCATGGTTCATATATTTACGTGCCATTTGATTAATGTCAGTCTCTCCCTGTCAGTGGTGATGCCGGGCAGAGGAGGGCTCTATCCACTCCTGTCACCACTCTAACCCCACTGTACGCGTCTCTGTTATAATCAGGGTTGCCAGATTTAACAAATAAAAGTACAAAATACCCAGTTAAATCTGAAATTCAGATAAGTAATGAATAATTTTCAGTAAAAATATGTCTCGTGATATTTGGGACATCTACTAAAAATGATTGGTTGTTTATCTGAAATTCAAATATATCTGTGCATCCTGTATTTTATCTGGCAACCCTATTTATAACCTGTTTCTGATGCTCTGTAGATATACACATGAATGAAGGAATGAATGGAGATAATGCATGATCAAAAACAGAAAACCAAATGCAGGCATTCTACTGGAAATCATATACCAACATGTTAGGAGTGGTTGTTTCAAGGCAGTAGGATTATTGGAGAATTTTCATTGTTCCATGTGATTTTCTGTACTTTTCAAATTGACTGCAATGCAAATATCATAAATATGTATATATTTATACCTACCTACCTACACACACACACACACACGCACGCACACTTCTTAACAACCCTATTTATAACCTGTTTCTGATGCTCTGTAGATATACACATGAATGAAGGAATGAATGGGGATAATGCATGATCAAAACCAGAAAACCAAATGCAGGCATTCTACTGGAAATCATATACTAGCATGTTAGGAGTGGTTGTTTCAAGGCAGTAGGATTATTGGAGAATTTTCATTGTTCCATGTGATTTTCTGTGCTTTTCAAATTGACTGCAATGCAAATATCATAAATATGTATATATTTATACCTACCTACACACACACACACACACACACACGCACGCACACTTCTTAACCTTGGTTTAAAACCTGCTTAAAAGAGAAATAATTTGTGTTTTTCCTCAGCTTGAAAAATCAGAGTTTTCTGGACACATCCCCAGAAGTTAGGGGCATTTGAACAGATATAAGAAGATTATTGAAAGCAATATTAAGAGGCCTACATAGCATATCAATAAAATAGAGTACACAAAGGAGGCAGGAGTTAAAAAAAGTACTGCTGTTATTTCAAAATCATACAATGCTTCTTAAGAAATTCAACACCTGAGGCTTTGGGGATATAAAGAGAAATCTAATAATTAAACTTAGGACATAAAATCTTGATTATATTGTGCATAATATATTTAGGAATTTTTGGGTTTTTGTCTGATTTTCAGAATGAGGGTGGAAAACAAAACAACTTACACTCTTATGGAGAATGTGTCAAAGATGCCCCTCGCCATAACATGCCATGATACTTGGGGCCAAGCACCCCTCAATTTGTTTTCTGGATATCACACTGGCCCACCAGTGATGGGCATGTTCAGAATGCTATGCCTTCATGCAGCAAGGAAGGAAAGCAACTAACATTTGTGAAACAAATGTTATTATGTGCTGGGTACTGGGCATAGCACTTTATCTCATTTTATTCATAAAAACAACCCAAGTTACATGCATCAACCCTATCTTAAAACAATGTGATTTAAAAATGATAACGTAAATAACTCACAATCACACCCTCAGAAGCATTGCAATATGCTTAATAGTTGTGGAAAGATTCACTTACATTGCTAGGCTGTGCTTACTAAGGCAGAAAGCATTTATTAGAAGGAATGAATAATAAATGTTTGCGAAGATTTTTATCTCAAGGTGTGAAAGACAGCAGGGTTTTGCTGCACTTTTAAGAAAATCCCCTCCCAGTTTCCAGTTGTGCATGTTGGGGTTAGAATCATGGTGGTGGAGGGGTGGGGGAGGGGAGGGTCTCTTCTATTAGTGTTAATGGTATGGAATGTTCCACTGTGAGATTCAGTGGAGAAGTGAAAGGGACATAATAGGATATAGGACATGTTATCACCAGGTTAGCATGCCTGGAGAGTAGAATGTTGCCTGCAAGGACACCAAGTTAGCAAATAGTGAAATATCTCAACTTTGGCCAGCTTAATGCCTCATAACACCTATGTTTTTTTTAAAAAATTGGGATAGAAAAAAATTGACTTTGCCCACACAGTGATGAAAGACAGAAATGAAAGGGCAAAATGCTAAGTATGTCCTTATGAAGGGTTTCTGGTGTTAAAAAGAGTTAGTTGGTTGAACTTTTGAAGAAGAAAAAATATGACTTTGAATAAAGGGGGACTGTCAAGTGACAGCACCTTGTCACTCTCAGGTGGAGAGATGGGGGAAAAGGCAACTTGATGATTGCTAAGGATGGGGAAGCTGCATCCATTTTAACTTTTTACATGGCAGCATTTTGAATAGGCCACTCTGAAAAACTGATTAAATTCATTGAGCCTGAGCCAAAATTAGACTCCCATGTCGAGTGGTGCATAAACTATAATAGACCTATTTCCAAGTCACAAAGAACCATCTTCTTTTCAACTGTGGCATAAAGGCTTTGAGCAAATTGTATATTAAGTGAACTGTATTAATTAAAGATGGATGGAGGAAGGTTTTATGCACTGATTCCTCCAGAAGGATGTCCCTAAGCACATAGTGAAATCTCAATTATTTTTCCATAAGCATTCTCTGGATAAAGACCTGTTTTTGCCTTTGCTGGTAAGTAAGAACTGCTTGGTATGCATATTTAAATAACAATCATACTGAATTAGCTTTAAGAACTGGCTCTTAACATAATGGATACATTAAAATGTAGAGCAAAATGAAGGAGACACAAAGACTTGACACACAAGAAAAGAGCAGGAGGTAACAGATACTGCAAGCTTTTTTCTTTTCTCCCATTTTTTTAAGGCTTGGATTATGGTAATAACTTTGAGAGCAGATCACAGTCATTTAATGTCTAGCCACTGACATAAGTGAGCTCCAGCTCTGTTAAAATCTCTTTGGTAAGAAAGGCAGCACCTCTTCTATTTCAAGTCACAGGTATATATGTGGCTACTTAAGAAATTGCTACAAAGAAACCAGTTTTATTGCCACTTATTTTAAGAAGAAAGTGCTCTGTACAATTTCTAAAGATCGACCTAATGTCAGCCAGTGAGGCCATACTTTGTACCCAACGTGTCTCCCCCACAGTTTATGGGGTAAAAGTATCTAATGAGTGATAAGACATATGAACTCATTCCTTGTCAGCCCATTTAATTACAACGCTTAAAAAAAAGAAATACTGACCTCAAGGACTAAGAGAACTGCGACAGCTAAACCGAGAGTACTTATTGGTAACAATAAAACAAAAATTTTCTTTCAGGCTGGCCAGTTAGCTCAGTTGGTTAGAGCACAGTGTTGTAACACCAAGGTCAAGGGTTTGGGTACGCTTACCACCCAGCCACCCCCCCAAAAAAGAAGAAAAGTTTTCTGTCATTATAAAGCCAAAGAAACCAAGAGGAACAAAGCCCTTGAGGAAGATCCTAAGGAAGATCTTGCAAATGTACACCTGGTCATCAAGATGCATTTGTGTAACAGTGTTTGGGGATGGAGATGGGAGTGTCTCCATTGAGAGGGCCCAGAAGACCACTTACCACAAATTAACCAGGAAAGGGTGCTCCAGACCCTGCATGATCTGGAGTTCCTTAAAGACGTTTCTCACTTCGTTGCGCTCCACACACTTTTGTTTATTCATGTACTTCATCGCATACATTTTCTTGGTGTCACTCTTCTGTACGATGCAGACCTAGTGATGCAAACCCGAGTAGGAACGTCATTAGACAGATGACAGATCGTAGTGCTGGGAGACAGAACAAGACTTGTTCTTTGGCATGGCTTGGATGTCTTATCACTTGCAAATTCTCTGTTAAAGTTGTTAAAGTTCTCCCTTAGTTCTGATTTTAGAGTAAAAAATTTCACTTTCCTCCCGTGTACCATGTTAATAATTGAATCTCTGCTTTCTCAAACAAGTTTGCCTGTTTCTGTGTTTGGAATTTTTTTAGACAGCATTTTGAAGAAAATAGCTGCCTCTGTGTCAAGAATCTTCCAGTAACAAATAACATCCTTAATCCTGCTCTGAGTGACTAAAACGGATATGATGAAACCATCAAGCTGAACAATAACGTGCAAATAATTTCTGTTTACATCCACAGGTGACATAACTAAAAAGGACTCTAAGCCCTGGGAAAACATTAAATATGATGTTCATTCATGTTTTTGAAATTCCTTTAGAGGACCATATAATACCTGATAAAATAGAGAGCAGATGATTTTAAAATGCAAGTTTAATATGAAATATGAAATATTATTCTCTCTCAGAGTATTTCTCCACTGAGAAATTAATAATCAGTGTTTGAACCTAGAAGTTTCCTACAAAAAAGTCAGGCTATGTATATTTTTCATAGTAAGTTTTTGAAGATAAAAACATGGTACAACTGGGGAAAAGAAAATGGAAATCAAATGGCTTCTTTCCCCACGTGAAAAGAATTAACTCTTGGGCTGGCCGGTTAGTTCACGTGGGAGATAATGGCCCTGATAACACCAAGGTCATGGGTTTGGATCCTTGTATCAGCCAGCCTCCAAAAACAAACAAAAATTAACTCTTAAATTGACAAGATAACTATTACTGGAGGTACAGCTGGTACAATTTAAAAATTATGTTGAAATCTTAATCTCCTTTACGGTAGAGATAAAAGTCTTAAATGCTAATGAGAATAGATTTGCCTTTAATGAGATAATTCTGAGAACAGTATATAATTATTATCTGACCTGTCACACACCTTTCTCAAACTATGGTGACAATTTTACAAAAATCCATTATATAAAAAAATCTTCTCTAAATTATCTTTCCTTGTGGTTCCAGTAACTCAATAATCTGAACATTCTTGGACACTCCATTTCCTGAGCTACTTAGTAATTTTGGTTCTCACCTTCCCAAAACTGCCTTTCCCAATGGCTCGTAAAATTTCAAAGTGGTCAAAGTTGACTGTAAAACAACAAAAAAGAAAACATCATAAATAATTACCAATTGCTTTTTTGTAGCTAATAAATGATAAAAAAAAATTGGGCCAAACTGAAGTACTTTGTTTAAAGCAACGTTCCAAACTACCTTAAAATGCCAATTTATTCATACAAGAAAGATTTGTTGAAAGAAAGATACAACAATCACAATAATATGTTGAACTTTCAAAAAGAGAGAACAGAACTGAGATTACCAGAGGTAAGAAACGGGAAGAGAGGGTGAGGGAGGAATTGGTAAAAGGCCATGAAAAGTGATCACATTGTATAATGTTAAATATATTAATTATCCAGATCTGAGCATCACATATTGCACACAGGTATTGATATTCAATCCTGTGCCCCACACATATGTACCATCAACTATGTTTCAATTAAAAGAAAAATAAAAAGTAAAAAAGTAGAGTCCAAAAAGAAAGATTTATTGAACACATTATGTATTAATCATAGTGCTTAGTGCTGGGGATACAGTAATAATAGAGTAAAAATATAATGTCTACCTTTATGGAGCCTATAGTCTAGTGAGGGCGCTATAACGAGAGAGACTCTTATGGATTAAATAGTCACAAAAATAAATTGAAAATTAAAACTCCTGCTGAATGTTAAAAAGAAGAGAGTTTGTGGGACTCTAAGAACATGTAACAGGGGACTTGACATAGGCTGCAGGGCCAGGAGAATCACCTCCGAACACAGAAAGATTGCAGAGAGGTCTGGTACTGGGTACACACGCTCTACTGAGGATCATCATTTAAAAGAACATTCTGCTTGCCTATTTTCTCACTGTAACTATTCTTTTGTATCTAAATAATTTCAATTTTCCCAGGTAGGAAACTATTAAACCCATAAGTTTATAGAATGAGCTAATCTGCAAGGTACAGTTATCTAACATGAGGATGTGTATGTGTAGAAAAGTCCACTAAATGGTTTTTTGAAGTTGAGATGATATTCCACATCTGCCATTTTAAAATTTCTGCTCCTAGAAGTAAGAAGCATAGATGTTTAGCATAGTTTGTAGGTAGAGTGGTCTCTTGGGTCAATGCTCATGGAATGCTTGGTGATGAGAAGAACAAAGTACAGATTCTCCCTGGCAGGTGACAATCTTTGGTTTCTTGCCTTGATGATTTTGAAAAAATATTTGATTTCATTTGTTTCCTGGTTTTTGAAAAAGGGTTTATGGGTAAAATTCCAAATGAGGGATTTTAGGAGTTTATTCAGAAAAGATCGTAGAAACACTGGAAGCTACCACTCGTCTCTTTAAAACACCTAGTTTGTCTCTCTTTTTCAAACAATAATTAAGTAGCTTCTCCTGGAGGAAAAGGAGATGGACAAACGGACCTCTGCAGGTCTTTTCAAACTCTCTGAGGGTCAAACATTTTTATAATATGACTTAATCATCACTTCCTCTTCCTCCTCTTCTCAAACCCCTTTATTTCTAGCACATGCTTAGTCATGGGAGGCAGTCTGTATAATACCAATAACCCTGGATTTGGACTCAAAATAGCAACATCCCTTGAGATCACATATGGACCCTATGACCCTCCATTTTCTCATCTGTAAAAATGGGACTAACCTTCCCAGATAAGAAGAAAGCATCCTTTACCCAGAGAGTGTTAATAAAGCTGTTTATTTACATATGTGTGTATGCATGTACTGGGCCATGATATAATTTTTAAGGATTTATTCATTTTTGTTGTGGTAAATATATGCAACATAAGGTTTGCTACTTTAAGCATTTTAAAACATACGATTTCATGGAATTAATTACATTTATGATGCTGTGTGACTACCACCTCTATCTAGTTACTTTGGATTGTGGTAAAAATAATTTGAAAAACACTCCGGTGTTTTCTCTTGAGTTTTTTAGTTAAATAACCAAAACAATGATTTTTTTACTCATTACATGAGTCTGGGTTGTATATTATGTACCACAGGAGTGTTATAAAAAAAAACTGACCAGGATTTATTTGCAAGTCCAAGATTTTATCTTGAGCAAATCCAATAACTCACTGTGATTTCTCCACTAGCAGCCTAGCCTAGGACACTGTGATGACATTTTGAATCTAAAAGCATACAGCTGGAAGCTAGAAAGCATGAAGTTCCATTGTCATGTTAATCCACATCATGAACCATGTCCTTTTATAAACCATTTTAAGCCTTAATGAAAATGATAAGGATTACATGTCAGGTTCCTGGCAAATTTCTACCAGCAGAACTGACTAAATTAATGTGATCTCTCAAATGTCACACAAAGTGACAGGCCTAAAGTTTTAGAGATAATGCATCTTATTTATGCCTTAATGTAAAAGAAAGAAGAGACTCTAGTTGAAGATGAGACACTATAAACCAGAGCATAATGTCTGGCCCACTAAAAACTAAAAATTATAAATGACTTCATGTACCTCCATGTTCCATGATTTTAATATTGTGATGTGGCCTAAAAGTTTCAGAATACATTCTGGTAGCTATGAGCATAAAACTCTGGGTTTGGGTTTTGGCTGCACTACTCACTAGCTATGAACTTTGAGTAAATTATTTAACCTCTCTCTAGGTTTCAGTTTCCTCCACTGTAAAATTCTGGTCATGTATGGTACAACTTCTACAGTCATGATGAGGACTAGGTGAAATAAGCCATATCAAAGGTGTTTATCATGTATTTTTTGGCAGAGAGTAGTAGGAACTCAATACATGTATTATTATTACTGCTGTTTTTGGTATTGCTATTGTTACTAGAAGAGTTACTTTGGTATCAGCCCAGAATATAACCTCTTTTGCCAAAATATTAGGGAAAATGATGTTGGAACTTAAAACAAACAGTGCCAAGAATATGGACTCCACAGAGGCAGACACTGAGCCCGTCATGTTCCTCACTAGATCCACATCACTAGAACCATGTTGGGCACATGGCAGGTGCACAATAAACACTTGTTACTGAAGGTAGGAGGGAATGTAGTACCACCACCAAAGTTTCACAGAGTATAGATGGCTTTGGAGGAAAATTTTTGAAGATAATTTCCTCCATGTTGATTTCCTAGCACATCATTTACAATATGTACCTCCTAATAAAATCTTACCAACAACCTATTATCAAAAGACTTCTTAATGAGCTAGGCAATAAAGTCTTCATTTGAATGTTGTTCTAATATCACAACTTCAGATCTCTCTGTGGACATTGGATATACATCATAAAAACCTCAAGGATTGACATTCTTTGAGAACTGTCGTTCTCCACCCCATACACTTCACAACCACTAACCCTCCGAAGTGAGGACATGGATAAAAACCCTACAGCAATAAAGAATAACTAACATCTAGAGTCAGAGGGTATTTGCTTTGTCAGAGCTGCATGATCTTTGAACAGAAGTAGATGTATCTCACTATGGCAACAGAAAGGCACTGGCACTAAATTATAGTCTGCCCTATACCTCATCACAACAAAGATACAGTCAGTCCTTTTTCTAAATCCTGCTGTCACTTTACCTGTTTTTAAAAATGGGTATTGCATGATTTGCCAAGAAAAGGAGAAAGAGGACAGACAAAATTTAAGGACTGGTTAAAAAGGCAGCTCTTCTAGTGAACTTTACAGTTTTCCATGAATTAGATGGATGTTTTGTCTGTTATGCTGCATTCCCAAATGGAGTCAGTTAGAAAAAAAAAAAAAAAACTCACTTACATACTTTTAAGACAGTCCCAGCAAGATAAGCACAAAGCCAGAATCACTTCCCCAGAAGACACAAAACCCAAGAACACAAAACTCTGGATAATCAAATGCCCGTACCTCATTTTTATTTTTATTATTTTATTTTATTCTGGTATAGTGTATGTATCTTTGGAATCCAGTCTCTCATCTTTCTGTAATTAGACGAGTATAAATAAAAAGACAGACAAATAAACACACAAATAAATAAATAAAAGCAATTGAGTGTTAGCTTGTATGATGTACAAAGAGGCATTATGGACCTTCAGAGATGGAGAGTATGATGAAGCATGAAGAGTTTTGCTTCTTGGATTTTAATGAAGATTGAATGCTTTGACGAAAAATAAAAATGATTTGAGTCAGACAGAATCGCACTGGAATCTGAGCTCCACCACTTACAAGACACGAAATTAGGAAATTTATCTGACCTTTCTGAGCTTCAATTTCTTGTTTACAATGAAGGTTATTTTTTTATAAAACTAACACGCTTTTGGTATAGAAAACACAGCAAAGGAAAAAAAATTCTAAAGATAACCATGATTCATATTTTGATGTATTTCAGTCTTTTTAATGTTTTTGTTTTTTTCTGTTATATGTATATATATATTTATATAGAGTTTAAAGAATCAAATAGTTCTAAAAGATTTGTTACTAAAAAAAGGATAAAATGACAGTTCTATAATCTATTTATTCTCCTTTCAATCTCTCCCAGCCAAGACACAACAACTTTTGTGTTTTAGCTAATAAATTTGGTAGAATCCACCAGGTCTCTAAATAGTAGAGTAATTTTATTGACTTTCTTTTCAGTGTTAGGCATTCGTTATTGAATTTCCAAGATGGAAGATGAGGATTTAGTTCACATTCCTGCTCTTTTGGTTTTACCCAACCATGCTTCCATCTTTCCAATATAGTTGTAGCTGGTAGAATAATCTGATTAGATCAATATTCAGTATTTCCATTATTATGCATAGACAAATGGTATGCTCAAATGAGTTAGGTAGGAAACTATAATTAGTTTTCCTCTCACACAACTTTTTGCTTTCCCTAGGGTTGATAATTGTCTTGTTTATACATGGGCTTCCTTTTCTGTCTTTTGCCTAATGCAATCCCCAATGCTTCTCTAGTTGTCTAATACCCTTTCATCATGTTCAGGCACATCAGTTGGAGTCATCTTCCTGAAAATGTCTCTCCCAGAGCCCTCTGACCAATCCAGTCTGAACTATTTATCTCTATTGTTGCACAGCTGTCTTCCTGGGCTTACTTTCCCCATCATC